AAAAAAGCAGCTCTAGTTTTTTTCTCTTTTTTTTTTTTTTTTTTTTTTAACCATGGAGACTGTCATTTTTTTTGTTGTGAAGAAATCAAAAAGACCACAACAGGTTAGAATTTTAAGAAGGTGGGGAACTTCATCCTAGCAGGCAATGATTCTAAAAAAAAGCCTTAGAGCTCACTGTGGATAATCAGCTGAACATGAGCCCTGGCCTGACCCTAGCCAAAAGGCAAATCCAATCCCTGCATATATACACATGAAAATCTTGAGTAGAAGCAGGGAAGTTATTACCTCTGCATGTGGCAGTGAGACTCTCCCAAAGGAATACCATGTCCAATTCTGGTCTCTAGAATCCGTGAAGAATGTTGTTAAATTACAGGGTACAAAGAGCCATGAGAATGATTAAAGTATTGGAGAAACATGCTTCAAAGTGATCTCATGGAGCTCAATAAATTTAAAGCTCAAAGAGATTAAAAGATGCATTGATCAACATATATATGGGGAACAAGAGAATGACAGTAGAGGGCCCTTCAGTGTAACAGACAAAGGTATAATAAGAATCAGTGCCTGGAGGTTGAAACTAGATAAATTCAGACTAGAAATAAACAACACTATTTTTCCCCAAACAGTGATGGTAATCAATCATTAAACAGATTACATAAGGATGTAGAGAATTCTCTGCCACTGGCAACTTTTTAAATCAAGGTGGGATATTTTTCTAAAAGACATGACCTTGGGTAATCACATTGATTGAACCTGAAGCAGGAATTAAATTGGGATGGGAGGTACTCTAGTTTGTTATGAAAATCAAAACCAATGATCACAATGATCCTTTTTCATCTTGCAATTTATCTAATCTAATCTATATCACTTCACTCTGAACACCTGGTCTCACATACTTATGTTGGACAATGGGAGAGAAACTGATCCACAAAGGACCTTTCACGTTTGATGAGCTTTAGTTAAGAAATCATTTGGAGAAGTACCCTACTTCGAGTCATTCCAGAAACCAATCAGGGAAAGCAGCAAAGATTCAGTTCAGTGGTGCACATGTTAAACCTCTCTCCCCTTCCTGACAAATGACTACTGCAAAGCTTGAATACAAATAAAAAACAAAAAAAATTTTCATCTTGTGTGAGTATTAAAGATACTGTGTGGCTGGTCTCTGAAAAAAAAAAAAAAAAAAAAATTTTAATTTTGTTGGGGTTTAAAAATACTTGGGGGGCGGTTTTTTAAAAAAAAAAAAAAAACCAAATCAGATGAGGCTATTCTTACCTGGCTGCACACCCCCTAATCTCTGCTGGATGACCTCTAAACGACGGATGTATTCACTTAATGATCGTTCAGGGTCTTGAGTAGATGATACCAATGACTTCTCTGAAACTGAACTTGTAGATGGATGAGACCTGTAAAAATATCATACTAATATTAAAACTATTCTTCCTAAAGCTCAGAGTATATGTACAGCTACAGTGGTTTAAATAGGCTCATACTGTTTAATTATCTGGTGTACAGGGAACTACAATAACATGAAAAGCTGTTCTTCTGACCTTCACTGTGTATACAGGAAAAGTGATGGGATAGACAAGTAGTATAATATTTGAGGAGAAAAATCAATACTTTTGTTAGGAAATGGGGACACATAGAAGCCTTAACCTTGCTGGTATCTAATCACTACCTTTCACCCCCTGATGTAACTGCTCACAGAAACATCGAGGAAAACAGAAATGAGAGGCAGTCCCAAAAAGTACAAGAAAGTCTCTGAGGCAGAGGGTGGAATGGTTGTCCTGTCCTGTCTCCAAGACCCCAAGCCCTAAAGGGCTACAGCATATGCAGTATTTAAAGAAAGCCAGAGTGAGGGGCCCTCTCTCAACTATGCAAACACTGATATAACGGGAAAGTGTGTCCCCTGCTGCACTTGCACCTGGGGGTGGGGTCCCACAGATCACTTCCTCCTAAACATCTTTTAATGCAAAGAAGAATGTGGGTGGTTTTTTCCTGCTCTATTACCTTAGTCACTCGAATGACCTCAGCTAAATTTAACAACGGGGACTGAAACTGATGCTAACCCAACTCCTCCACTAACCTTGAAATATTTGCTGTTACCCAGAGCTCCTCAATCATCATGTTTATCCTATTACCTTGATTCTTCCTTATTAAAAATAAAATCTTATAAGGGTGAGATTCTCTCACCAGCCCCTTTGAAGTCCGTAATCCAGTTAGGGGCTTGGGGCAAAAGAATAGGGAGGGGGGAAGAGGGGAAATTTCTTCTCATTAGAAACAGAGAGCTGAAAATCTTCTTCCAGACCCCATTGCAAACCTCAGCTTAAGGTGCAGGCCAGGGACAGGTGGATGTGCTAGAGGTGAAGCTACACTACAGTCACTGGCAGGCTAAGGCAATATCAGTGTGGTAACCATGTCCAGAAGTGCTACTTTCAAGCAATGTGAAAACAGTGTAGCTGTGTATTCACAGCTGTGGGTGGGCTAATTAGTACAGGGAAGGCTAAGTAGCACAGTCAGCTTGCAGTGCTAATTAATCTGCCAAAGCAACATATAGAGGCAGCTACATGGCTTTCATTTTGGCTTGCTATCCACCCAGAGCAGCACCAACATGTTTGAGGGTGCTGCTGCCTAACCCAGTAGGCTTACTGTGTAGCCACAGTCTAAAGTTGCACTGCTGGCCACTCCCAATTCTGACCTGCTCTAAGGGCTGACGTGCACGACAGCAGCTTCAAATCACCCGAGTCTCATTCTTCCTGGCCTGTAAATCTGGTGCTGTGCCTCTAAGAGCACAGCACAGAATCTTACTGTTGGTATACAAAAGCAAAAAGGGTAGTTTGGTTACATTTCTACATGGATGTGGCCACAGTTCACAAACACCAGGAGTACAACTGCAGTTGGAGGTTACCAACTTCCAAAGTTTAGCATCAGGAGAAAAAAGCAATATATCTAATAGATCTGAGAAATCAAATTCCTATTCATGTTCAAATATTTTCTGCAAGAAAAGGTTAAGGTGTTATGGAAGACAACCATCTGGCTGAACACTACAATTTATTATGTTATATACAAACCTATTACATAACCAGGAAGAGGATCTGTGGGATTGGCTTATGCATCTCGCAGAGCTAGTTTTGTGGCACAATCCAGTATCTCGGGTTGGAGGAGAATTTGTGTTAGCTGTTGGAAGCTGCTGTCTCAAAACTTCTGTTCTAGCACCAGAAACTGTGTTAAATACATGAGAGTCAACAATGAAATCAGGCACGGGAACTGCACAAAAAAAGGGAAAAAACACACCCACATGCCCCCACACCCACACCCACACCCCAAAGAACAAAAGCTACAGCAAAACAAATGTTTGGCTTTAAATTTCCAAAGAGGGAATCCTTTGTTTTTTGACACTATTAAAAATGTCAATTTTTTGAAGTTTCAGAATCAACTGCATGCACAATGACATTTTTCACCCTTCTATTTACATGTTCCACACCCACACAGTTATCTGAAAAATACATTGCGTTAGGAACGACCCTACAAATTCATTTTTCCTGATGATACCATTATAGGAGATATTCTTAGTTTCAACTCTAAAGAGTAGACACCAAACCATTTGTTTTCATTGTTTTCTTAAAAGGGATAAAAGTTAGCCACTGTTGGAATGATAAAGTTTGAATTTCCCAACTGCTGCATGGTAAAATCTCATTTATGTTAAACTAACTGATATAGCTGGACAACACTGAAAAAAGTTTATGATAATACTAGCTAATTGCCGGTCAAGAATGACGGATTTCAGGGAGTGTTTACGTGCCACCCCCCACCCTCACCCTTCAGGGCTGGCCATGTAAAGATTCCCTCTGCAGCCTCCTCCTCCAGCCTTGCAGCAGGGTTCTGCCTGCCTCCCCACCCCTCCCTTTCTCTGCCAGCTGTTGTTGGTGCTGGGCGGCCGGGGGGGCGCACCGCCACCGTGACACCCCTCCTTTTCCCTCCCTTTCCTGCTGCCCAGCCCCAACAACAGCTGCCACCACGACTCCCCCTTTTGCCTCCTCCCGCCCCCCTCCCCGCCTGCCACCTCCCCTTCCCTGCCAGGTGTTGTGGAGGCAATGGGGACAGGTGGCAGGGCCACTGTGACCCTTAGGCAAGGAGGCATGGGGAAGCCCCACTATTTTTGTGGCCGGGGCATGTTTGTTGCCACCACAAATTTCCTCGGCAATAGCTCAAACCTGGGCCCGCGCAGCCGGGGCCCACACAGCCAATTGCCAGCTGCCCTCTCAGCAGTGCATGTGCAGTTGGCAATTAAGCGTTAGACAGAAAGCATTAGACAGAAAGAAAAAAGCATTAGACAGAAAGACACACAGACAGACTAAGCCCTTTATTATATTACAATATTAAAATATTTTACTATTTAAATGTAATACTTTTACTAGAAATTAGACTAAAAAACACATTATTTATTTTAAAAATCCTCACCTGAGTTATGCCCTGTGCCATGAGAAATGACTTCTCCCTGTATACCTTTTCTGTTTATTTTATTCCATTTTTTCACTAAAAACTTTAACCTTGCAAATAAAAAAGAATATTGTATATTTATTAAAAACAGCAGAGAAATTAAAATGCATTGGACTTTAATATTAATCATTATCCTCGATAAGAAATATTTTAGACTATAAACAATGTCATAAGAGGTATTGGGGAAAAGGACAGAAATCACACAGTTCAAGTCTTCTGGATCAGGTGTATCAAATACTGTGTTAACTGCTATTCAGATGCATGTTAAACAACTGATTAAGTAGATAAAATTCAGCTTTTAGAACATGTTTTTAAAAGCAGTGCTTCCTCCTCTGCACCATGGCAAACTGAAAGAAACTAAAATTATTTAAATTAAAATCGCAAGCAAGTTTTATTCCTTCTTTCAGTCATAACACAAAATGTAGCAAAGAAACGAGAAAGGGGAAAGGAAAAGGAAGAACAAACCATCTCCTTCTGTATGTACCTATATCAAACACTGTTTGGCCACATCCAGACAAACAAGGGTATGTGCGTGTGGTGGCACAAACAGTAGCAGCACAAATTTGTACTGCTACTTTGTGCCACAGTGCACATCCCTGCACTTGCCCTTTGTTGCAGGCTGTGCAGGGCTCCCTCCAGGTTGGGCTTCATGTGCTGTAGGTGCCTCAGCATGTGGCTAGTTGGCAGGAGGTCCCTGCTTTGAGGAACCCTGCGCCCCAGCCAAGGAGCAGCAGTTGGAGACGGGGGAGTAGGCAGTTTTTCACCGTTGCTATGCAGAGATTCATAAACACCATGGAATCTCATACAGCATGAAAGCAGAAAGAAGCAATATACACAAGTATTTCAACATGGTGCTTATCATGCTTAGCAGACTGGCCTGAAAAATACTATATGGGTTAAGGGTGCGGTTAAATGATACTCTAAAACAACTGGAGTGAAAGTATTTTTCTACTAAATAAATTAAGTACAATCCAAGGAATACATTTTAGATGTTAATCATTTGTGATATTTCCCAAGGGAAATATAGGAAGATCTGCTTGTGCATGCCTGTAAATATTTTTACCTTGATATTGCAATGACCACTCTGACTGCAGATCGAAACTTGGTAAAAGGACGGGAGCGTGATTCAGAGACCTGCAAATCTGCAGGTGAAGGGAAGACTCCCATACGTGCTATCAGGGATAATGTTGCTTGCTCACAGTCCTGGAATCCACCCAGAAGCAGAAGAAGATATTTCTTCTGATAAACTAGAGCCTTTCTAAAGCTCTCAGATCGCAAATACTTCTTATACAGCCTCTGTAGCTGTGAAGGAAAAGAAAAAACTACAATTATTAAGGTTTACATTACTGAAAATCCAGAAAACTTGTTACAGTTAGACCATTTAGTCCTTTAAAACTCTCGCAACCTACTTGTCTGTGGCTTGATGACAGTTAGCTAAGGTTTTTTTGTTATGCAAGTTAGCAATTTTACATTGTGACAATTGCTGCTAACTATGAAAAAGTTGTGTAATGTTTTAAATGAAACTTTCAAATGGAATTTGCACTATAGACCTCCTGCCGATATAACTAATTTTGCTGAAAATTAGAAGCATCAGTCAAACCAGCAGGATGGCAGCCTTATATGAAGGTTTATAAACAGTCTGAGCTTCTATATATTTTGAAGGATTACTTGACAGCATGCTAAATAAAAGTCATCAAGTATTGGTATTAGAAGGGCAACTGTAATGCTGATGATTCCCTAGTCCAGGTAAGTAAGGATCTCCATAAATGATACCGGAAGTGCACCCACAGCAGCTCCTTTAATGTTTTTCATTTTGCCATTTGCTCCCCACTCCCCGCCAACTGGCAGAGGGGCCCTGCTGGCTGGGCTGTCCGCCACTGAACACAGGGGAAGTAAAAACCACAGCATATTTAAAACCACTGTTTTTGCTTCCCCAGCAATCAGTGGCAAATGGCCCAGCCAGCAGGGCCCCTCTACCAATCAGGGGCAGCGGGAAGCAAGACCGGGGGGGGGGGGGGGGGGGACAGGGGGGGAAAGGGAAAAATAAAAAAG